ATGGCTGAAAGGCCAAGCATGTTTGGTGTGACGGTGATTCGAATCCACAGATTGAGAGTCGAGCGCCCTAACCACCTGGCCATGCCGGGCCTGATGGTGAAGGTACCTATGATAGTAAAGCGGTTTAAACTGTTGTGCGCAATTTTTCATGAAGACATAGAAATACATTGGCTAAAGCGCAAGTCTCGAGCCCATCAATCTGATCATAAAGTTATCCATTCAACAGAGAATGAGATTTTTTTAGCGGTAAATTTCACCAGTTTGAAAAAGACGGATTTTGGGATGAACAGTTCATTGGTGTTGCCATTATACACCAAACTAGCACTTAACTGTATCGTTTATTCTAAGAGTATATTTGTATATAATGACTCGATATCAAAACTGACACATTGCTGTCAAACTTCAACTGCTGAATTTCATGAGAAAACCCGAAACTGTCTTTCAGAATATATTCATTTGTTGTGAATCTAAAGATCTTTCATCAGGGTGTACCAATCTCAAATCAAGTTATTCTAGACTGAGAGACTATTATGACTTTATACAGAAAAGCAAAAGCGTCATCTCTCTCCAAGAGGGCATGCGCCACTCATCTTACCGGTCATTCCACGCGTAACAATAGGGAGGACTTTGTCTCTAGGTGTCGCTTAACCCGTTACACAGTTGATGTCGGTACGGAAACTACATTGTGTACTAATACATGTAGTTCTATACAGCACTCTATTTTCTCTGTGAGAAAATTTTAAGTGGCGCCAAAAGCAGGTGATCTATGAGAATGAGAAACAAGAGCATTAACAAGTTATTCGCATACCAAAGAAGTTTCTCTGTTGTAAAATCTAACGTTTTAGGTGAACATCTCTGTTTAAACTAAAAGGAAATGAAATAACTGATACATTTCACCCACAAACTTTAAACAGTCTCTTCTATCGAAGAAATATTTGATAATACTTTGTTGTTTTTTTCCACTGAAACGACGTCACTATCAATATAACAATACTTATAACCATTACCTTGAACCGATAGTTTTTTGTTTTGAAAAAATAAAAATTATACTTTTCTGCGGAAAACAGAAACTGAGCTGTTAATTTTGGTTTTTCAGGTAATACTGTTACACCTTAACCATAAGACTATCATGCGTTATGGCTAACATACATATTATAGAATATTACAATAATTTAACATATATGTATACCTTCATCTCAAACATATATTTATATTTGTTAGATTGAGTATTTTATGTCGACACCTTCTTCGTCTTCATGCGTCTCTCAACAATTCACTCTACGTGTTAAATTAAACTAAGCTCAGTGGCTCTATCAAAATCCGTTTGGCATTTACCTTTTCACCGTATGGGGTGAAAAGAAGCAAAAATTTCTGACCACCCCGAGTTGTCTTTCAGGCCCCAAAATCTTTTTTGAGGCTTTAAAGATTTTTAAACCTAAACTCCTGCCACGAATTTCGTTTCATTTATCAGTCTCCCAAATGTCTTGTCAGTGATGCGGCAGCAATTAGGTCTGAGAGTTTTGTCTCCAATGCTAAACAAATGCCCAACGGGGCAGAGGCTGCTGAAACACTCAGGTAGCCTTTGGCCAGTAGAGATAGGGTAGGAAAGTTTTTTCCATGGATCTTCCAATAATCTAGAGGGTTGCTTTCTTCAGGAATGCAAGGACCATCGAGGTAAATGTTAATCTCAGTATCTTCTGACGATGAGATGGCTGGGTTATTGGAGACAGCAAAGGAACAAAGGAGCTTACTCTTTTGCGAGGAAGGGGACTTACAGTCCTCTTTTGATTCCATGGTTGCAGGATTATTTGTTGGGGAAACTTTCTTGACTTCTTGCTGCAAGAGAATTAAATTAGATTCATAGACCACAGGTCTAGTGAAACACCAGTCAATTTTAAATCTGGGAACCAATGCCGCAGCCAAGCAGAAAACACTTCGTTACTCATACTGAGTCAGCCGGCCGAGACAAGATGGAAATTATATCTGGACAACATGTCAAACTCAGTCACCAGCCCATAAACACATTGCACTACATAACTGGAGGTAACAATGTTCTGACCCTGTGTGAAACCTGTTGCCTTTATAAAAAGTATCAGTGTTGTCATCAAATATGCAAGCACAGCTCAATCATGACAAGTAAGTTTCGATGTACCAGTATGTAGATTATCCAACTTCTCCTGGGGAGTCTTCAATAAAAACTCAATCTTCTTGATTTCTGAGTTCCAATGTATTGGGGTTACAAACTGAACTCTGGATTCTCTCTCAAGTAGATTAGTTGCTTTCGTTGATTTCCAAATGTAGGACACAATGTCTGATGCTTTGGAAAGTACTTTCAGCAGTCGTCCAACTTTTTTCACACCATCCCTGACCACAAGCTGTAGCGTGTAGGAAAAGCAGATGTCATGTTCAGGAAGAAATTCGGATTAATTTTCTGCTGATTTAGATTCATCCAAAAGTTCATCTTCTGAGTCAATTTCTGTAGATGAGCTATCACCATCTCTATCACTAAGTAGTGTTTGTGGTTCAAATTCAGGCAGGCAGAAAGCCTTGATCATATTGGATGCGTTATCAGATGTCACATATAACATCTTGTTGTTGATGTTAAAGATATTTAATATTTCAGCATATTGAGCTGCAATTTTATCAGGTATGTAACACCCCTTGAAACACCAACATGACTGTTTGTATTTTCCAGTCAAGTATAAAGTGACCAGTGACTCCAAGAAAGTTGCGCATTTCTCTGCTACTCCAGATATCCACAGTGACATTGATGTTTAAACAAGTTGCAATGGAGAGATGACTTTTTGTTGGACTTCACCAAACCTGCTCTCGATCAACGTTGTGGGCAGATGCTTGTAACTAGGAAGAATATATTGAGAATCCGTGGTTGCCATTAGATGTTGAAAATCTTTTGACTCCATCACTAAGAAGGGTTTTAGTGTACCAGCAATACAATTGACGGGTTTGTTAGTGATGTGCTTCAGACGAGGGTTGTAGACTTATATTTAGTTGATTCTATAAGTACGCTGCTATTGTAGACTGCTGCACCTGGGCTGAAGTACCAGAACCAACTGTAGACTTCTGTTGCTCTGCCTCTTGATTACGCTAGAAATACAAAAGCATATCTAAGTTACATAATAAAGAATATAATTTATAATAAAAATAATAAAATCATATAATACTAAGTAAATGAAAATAATAAACAATATAATATAACACGCATGATAAATTTAGTTTATCTCTATTATACTGTATAAGTTACATAGAATATAGCTCATATTAACAGAAATTATAAAAAGGCTTACCTTCAGATGCTTCAGCAGGTTAGAATTGTTTTTTCCTGAAGTAGAAATCACCTGCTCACAATATTTATATTTTGCCTTAATGTGACCAGATCTATCAGTAGAAAGTATGAAGTATTCATGAACCACTGAAGGCAGTTTAGTAGCCATCTCATGTGACTCGAATGGATTAATAACCATGTAATATAATAACTTTTAAGGTGGTTGGAATGTATTGACCTAATTTAACTCTAGCCACAGGCATCATTTACCGCGCATGTCACGATATGTTTAGTAACTTACATTCAAAACTTGATTAAACTACTTTTTGTTCATGTTATAGCAATTAGTGTAGCATAAAATCGTGGCTAATATTCCATATTCTAATAACATATAAGGTTTAAGTTCTTAATTTTATCAGGCGATATTGATATAAAATCCTGAATTTCCCCTAGCGTGAGTAATAAGACTTTTTTCTCTAGGCATCCCCTCTTCTCTAATGTATTTACTACCCCTCCAAGAAGTACGAAATGATCTATTATATTACGTTGTTTTTTGTACAGAAAAGTGTTAATTTCTCTTTCAGTACAAGTTTAGTTCCCACGGGAAAGAAGCTTGTTCGGAAAAAGAATTAACGTGCTGTGGATGTAATAATGACAGCCTAGAAAATTGATAAGTACAAAAGTTGACATTTACTCTTACAATATTCAGTATTCACTAAATCATTTAACGAATACGAATACTTTAATTTTTCCCACCAAAGTATTCGAATACATGTACGAATATTCTCAAAGCTGTATTCGAATACCCCATGTCTGCCAGCTGCCTTCCCTCTAGCCTGTCAATGCTAAATTCGGGACGGCTAGCGCAGTTAGTCCTCGAGTAGCTTTGCGCGAAATTCAAAACAAAAAAACCAAACCAATACAGATTCTAGACATTATGATAAAACTATGATGTTTCTCTAAAACTCAATTTCATGGTGATTTACTTATGAAAGTGTGGGAACTTCCTGAAGTTTGATTGTATGCTGTATAACCTAATCTCCTGAATGATGATTTGAGACTGTTTAACTTTGATTTCAGGGGTGTTCGTTGCTAAAGGGGATGTTGGAACAGCGACCATTGTGGGCTCAGCTGTCTTTAATGTTCTCTTTGTTATTGGAATTTGTGGAATCTTTGCCGGCCGGGTAAGTAGCCATTTGTTGAAAATGGTAACGCAAATGATAAAATCTTTGTAACTTCTGTGATTTCTCTCCTTCAAAGATATGCTAGTTAAGAGGTCATTTGTTACATATAAGCCCTTTTTAGGCGCTTTAAACCATTCTTCGAGTAAGCTGTGCCACAATTTATCTCATAGCCCCATCTCTTGACCGATTTAAGATCTAATTACAGCCGCGGCTGTTGAGGATTACATCTTGTTTTTAATAAGTATTGCATGTTGACATACTTGGTTCGGGTAAAAAATTAATATTAGTAGTTACAATTGAAAGTTTTATCTATAGGGTAATTTTAACAATAAAAGAAAAAGAAGTCACGAAATAGATTCATAATATTTCACTTGATTAATTTAAATCTATCAAGACTTTTTTATGATGTTTAACATCCACGAGATGTCGACAAGCCAATACATCATAGCACAGCTAATCTTATAATGTTACTGCTTTATATCAGTGGTCCCCGGTGGGACACCAGTAAGTCTATGGACTTACAACGATGAAATCCGGGGTTCGATTTCCCGCGGTGTATTCAGCAAATAGTCCAATGTGGCTTTGTTCTAAAACAAACACATTTACATCAGTATTAAAAAAAAAACATGGGTTTTTATCAGTTCATTTAAAGATATTTGTTATGTCTGTTCTAGGATTTTTAAGTATGTTAAAACTTATATTGGTTACTAGTAAATTAATTTCAAATTCTATGTAATATAATGATTAGCGTAAAATATAATTTAATAGCCTACAAGCTAATATGTTGCCAAAATGCTCAATAAGTAATCGCATGAGGAAAATGACTGTCGACATCCATCAAGCCTAACATGCTCGCTCTTTCAACTATTTTATAAACAAAACAAACTATATGCATCTAACCAATAAAATACATAAAGACGAGAAGACTAAATAGAATTACTCGTTATGGGCATATGTGACGTCACCCATTATTAGTTTAATGATGCTGTCAATGTTCAACTTCTTCTTGTGGAGTAGAATCATTTCTTTATATACAAGTCTAACTAGATAAGTACATGACGAAACAAAACTAAGTTGTATTAGAGTCGACTTTACATTTATAAGATAATACCCTCAGACTTACGTAAGATAATATCCTCAGACTTTTGAAAGATAATACCCTCACGCTTACGTAAGATAATACCATCAGACTTACGTAAGGTAATACCCTCAGACTTTTGTAAGATAATACCCTCAGACTTACGTAAGGTAATACCCTCAGACTTTTGTAAAATAATACCCTCACACTTACGTAAGATAATACCATCAGACTTACGTAAGGTAATACCCTCAGACTTTTGTAAGATAATATCCTCAGACTTACGTAAGGTAATACCCTCAAACTTATGGAAGCTAATACCCTCAGACTTACGTAAGGTAATACCCTCAGACTTTTGTAAGATAATACCCTCACACTTACGTAAGATAATACCCTCAGACTTACGTAAGGTAATACCCTCAAACTTATGCAAGCTATTACCCTCAGACTTACGTAAGGTAATACCCTCAGACTTTTGTAATACAATAATGTCTGTAGTTTATCTTATCCACAATATTATCGACCGTTAACACATCTATTTCTGGTAAACATATGATATTTGTTTATTTGTATATTTTTGTGATTTACAGGTGATCATATTGAACTGGTGGCCATTGTTCAGAGATTCATCATATTATGCTCTAACTGTCGTTGTATTAATTATTGTAAGTATATTCATATATATGTGTGTATTATTATTATTTCTTAGGTGTCTTTAAAGATAGATAGTAACAAATCTTTTGTTTGATAAACTTGATATGAGTGAATGGAAGATTAAACGGAGAATTAATCATCTTGCGCTCGGTAACAAGTTCCAGATTAGCTACTTGTTGCTAGGTAACAAGTTCAAGCGTAACTTTCGTTCTCAGGTCAGTAGTGGAATTAAATAATCCTTCCTTTTGTTTTCATTTAAGCAGCAATTTACCCCAGAAGCACACATGTCGAAGATTTAATATCCTCATTTCGGCAACTCCGGATATTTTGGTATAATATAAATAAAGATTAGACGAAAGCTTCTGGTACCTGATGCCTGGGTTCGAGTACATATAGTTGTAATCACGTGTAATTCCAGAAGAATCGACGGCAATCTACAACTAACAAACAGCTAATAACGTTGTGTCCTTAACTAACATAGGAAAGTTAAGAGAGAAGAAAGAGTAGTATGAGATATCAAATAACAAAGTTGAATGGCGGTTCTCTTCAGAATTGTGAGGTAAAATACATCAAACGTGTTTTATGTAATAAAAAAGCCCGGTGCTGAATTCAATTGTATGTAAAAAAAAAGTAAATAGTGGAAACATTATTGATATCTTTATTTCGCTCCAAAGTCAGAAACCACTTCTACGTCTAATTGTATTTCTCGATCTACAGATTCTACAAAGATTTTTACAAGCTATGTAACCCTCTATCTACAGATTCTGTAAAGATTTTCATAAGCTATGTAATTCTCTATCTACAGATTCTGTAAAGGTGTTGATAGGTTATGTTTGAAATTCAATATATAAATAATTATATATTTTTTTAAATTTCCGAAGATCATGTAAACCAGTGTTTCTTAACCTTTTTTTTTTCTCGTGGCTCCCTTATGAGTTTGATTTATCTCTGTGGCCCCCAACCTTTGTAGACGCTGTTAATAAGGAAAAAGTTACATTATTTCCACACTGTTGGGTTATAATATATTCATATTATTATAATATTATTCTTACAATATTGTATTGTTTTCAAATAATTTGTTTATAACATACTGTTTACTTATACAAGTAAAAATATTCTGTTAAACATTGAAATTTTATTCAGTGTGATCCTTGGGCCTGATGAACATTTGAAAGTTTTTGAATGTCCGGTTGCAGTGTGGTCAGTGATAAGCAAAGATCGTCTATCTTCACAATATCAAAGCAGTTACGTATTTTTGATAGCAAATAAGTCATCCGACTAAAACCAGATTCAACCAGATAAGATGTGAGAAAAGTGATAAAATACAACTTTGCCTTCTCCCAGAGCTGTGGAAACTTATTAGCTACTTCACTACTTATCTAGAAATAATGTTTGTCACGTTTGAATCTAACTTGGGCTGTTATATCACTCTGCTGCACTTGAGAATCAGTCGAAAATATTCACAGATACCAGACAAACTATTTTGATTGCTACTCGAGTACTAGTCGCGTCTGGTAACTTGTACTTCTGAGCTGGTGGGGAGTACGGGGTAGAAGGGTAATTTTGTATTCTAAT